TTAAAAAGTTACTAAAATGTGAAAATGCATACATTGGTAATATTTTATATTCGCACTTTCATTAGATATTTTAATGTTTAATACCAAATCGATGATTTTTTTTTTTTTTTTAACAAACTTAACTTATTAATTGAAGTTCAATTAAGTTAATGGTACATATTTTTCACTTGATTTTTAATTTAATTAAAAAATATATATATATATTAAACTTTACTTAACCGTGTACCTACAAATATATCATTGACCGGCTCAGCCTCGCAAATATTTATTTCCGATAAGATCCGATCAAAGTAACACACGACACGAATAATGATCGTATTGTGCTCGAAAACGGACAGCTTTTATAAATAAATAGATATCGGTAGATATAATTCGCCTGTCACAACGGAAAAGGTCGTAAATTTGAAAAGGGTCTTAATATGTTTATAAGGACGTGCGCGTATTCAAAGCGCGGCCGTGTTTTTTTAGCGTCGCATAGTAAACGGCCGTATACTCGTCCAAAGAGATAGCGCAAGAAGTCGGTTACGACAGGAGATTGGAAATCGGAAAAAACGAGATACCGCGGCCTTTTTCGTCGCGCGGTATTAACGAACCCGGTGACTAATTGCGTCGACGAACGCGCGTCAGTGTGCGTGTGTGCGTGTGTGTGTGCGCGTGTGTGTGCGTGTGTGTGCGTGCGTGTGCGTGTGTTAAATATAACACCGTCGTGACAGAACGGAGAAAACGATCGACGCGAAACGTTCCGCAATTTACCACACGTCTCGGGAAACCGCGAACGGGCGCGCTTTCGCTGGTCGGCGGCGGTAGTCGTCTCCTCGGAATATATACGTACCGTTATAACTCGCCGGCGAGATAATATATTATGCGCCGGCGGGGCCTATGAATTCTTAAAGCGTGCGGAACGCGAAAGGACAGATGTTAAAAGTTAATCCCGTATGCCGTTATGCTGACCACTCCCTTTAAATTGGGCAACCGAAAGGCGGTGCCGCGAATCGCAGTAATATATTATTATTATTATTATTATTATTGTTGTAGGACCGACGATAAAGCTCCGCGCCCAAAGGCACGTACCGCAACGAGACCGCGATGCGTCGGACCGATATCCGTTTACCGCCGCGCGGGCCCCGGAGATAGAAATTTAAACGATAACGTACACGCGTGCCCCGCGCCGTACGGGACTCATCGACGTCTCGCTGTGCGGGTTGACGCCCTCGTGTGAGAGTGCAATTTTTTTTCGTTTTTTCGGAGTTCCGAACGGTTTCGCCGCTAAATCGGAATGTATCGTGCCGACAGTCGGGTACCGTACGAGGTTACTGTCACGGACGTCACGCCCGCGCTCAGAATCGTCTTTTCGTTCGCGATCGTTTTTCATGGAATACGGTTGCACTGACCCCGCCGCACTGTTACACTTGAAGCGCGGCGTTTTTACTGCAGGGCAGAGCGGCGATGATTGATTATCGAGAGGACACTCGGAATAATCTATTTCCGCCTCTGCTCACCGCCGCCCGCTCACCACACCCCCGTCGTCGACGCGTAATAATAATATTATAATATCGTCGTCGAACTCCTCCGGCGTCTGTTTGTACGAGCGCGTTTTAATATATTCGAAATGCAAATAAGAAGCCGCCCCGTCGAGGAGACGAATACGGCGTTTGCTTACTTAATGAGCTGTTGTGTTTTCATTAAAACAATATTTCACGCCGTGCGCGTGTACAGTTGACCGCCGAATAAAATGAAAAAATGATCAGTCGAGTACACCGGAGCGGTGTCTACTAACAATAATAATAATAATAACGTTTCAATAAAAACATAATGTAATTTGCATAGTGTAAAAGAGTGTTGCTGCGTATGAATATATACGGCCGCCGCCATTTTGTTAAAACAATATTTACGCGGTGCACATAAACGGCGAGGTACTTAGAATATTTTGTAATCATTTTAATAAAGTTTATTTTTTACTTAAAAAAAAAAAAAAACCCCGACATACTGTTTCGCTTCGCGGGTGCGCCATCGTTGTGGGTGGGAAGTCCGGAACGTTTGAGGTCGGCATTTCGGTCGTCGGTCAATCGACCCATTTATACGTCTGTGCGTGACCGGGAGCAGAGTGGACGGTCTAGAAAGGGAATTTTTCGGACGGCCCGGATCGTACAATCGGAGGCCTGGTTGCTTGATATTTTATTCACTCGTATTACTTAAAAACTCAGTAAAAAGTTTGTGTTGTGTTATTATTATAATATATACATAATTTGTCTACATTTAAGAATGGATCGGAATTATCCTCCCCCTCACTCTCTTATCCGGTGATGACCCGTGTCCCAAGTAAAATTTTTATTTAGCTGCTCCCCTCGTTCGAAATTCTAGCATCGCCACCGATTCAAATTCAAACCCGAGAACAAATTTGTTGGGTAAGTACGTATTTTTTTGAGTTTTCTGGTTAAATATCAATCTCCGTGTCTGAATTTTGTTCCCACAAAGTTTGACTTTGATAATAAATTTAAATTTAAAAATGAATTTATTTTTAACTAAAACAAAACAAATAAATGTTATCGCAAGGGTTAACAGTTTGAAAATTGTCTTTAAATGCGTATTTCGGTAATCTATTAAAAAAAAATAAAAATAACCCATTTCGATTTAAGTCCAACCGACTGAAACGTTTCGTGTTACCATTTGAACGAAACACATCGTACATAAAACAGTAAAGTAAACCGTAATTTAATAGTGTAAAAAGAAAAACTATACGGTCCGAACGGAACGAGGAAGCAACTATATACTGTTCACTATCTGGCTTTACAACGATACGTAGTTTTTTTTTTTAATACGCCCATAAATATTTTTTTTTTTTATATTATCAGAGCGTACCGAAAGTTTTGTAAATAGCCAATCTATATAGTTTGGAATCGAAATGCGCTGTACGGTTTTACGGAGGGAATTTCTCAATGGTTTTTTTTTTTTAGAGAAACTAATTGAGAAAACTTACGGAAAAAACTCACTAGTAGCTGTCCAACTATTGAAATCGTAAAGATTTTAATGAAATTGATTTTAGGTTTTTTATAATTTTTTTTTTTTGTATACAGTTTTAAAGAGTATGATACATTTTAAATGTCTAATCATTTACAGGATTTTTTAAAAAAAAAAGGTCTCGAAAATAAATGGATGATATTTGCTTGCGAGACTTTTAAATCAATTAGAAAGAACTTATCGGTTTGCACTTGAATGAAAAAATCGAAAACTGACTCAAGACCATAATAATATTATTTACCGCATAATTTCGTGACTGTCCAATTGAGCTGACGAGTTGTAATTGTGAAGTTGCGAATAATACGCTCGAGACAAAGTTCGGTTATATGTACATGTTTCGAAATGCTATACATTTTAAGATTTTTCCGAAATTTGAACCTTCAAAAATTGTTTTCAACGATTTACCACGTCTAAAAAACGCTAATATAAGTATTCTCTGATAGTCTCCGGTCTCTACGATTGTTTTTGATCTAATAACAACAGAAAAAAAAAATATAATCGAAAACAACGAAACCCCCGACAGCGTAAACGTTCCGGTTTCCAAAGTTGTATCTTGGATTTTCGCGATAATTCCGAACACTGTACTCGGAAAACCGGAATGTGACGTTTACAGACAAGAAAAGTTAAGCCGCCGACGTTTAACCGTTTTTGTTTGCGTGGATATCGACGTTCAATAAAAAAAAAAAAAAAATAAAAAACAATCCTGCAGAATTTCGCCGCCCCTTCAAACGCGCCTATAGCACGTCTTACACATTCTCACGGTCAGCTTTCGTAGAATTCTACCGAAACCGCCCATACAGTTGAATTGCCGAAAGATTTACGGCGAGCGACTTTATAATTTACGGGCACAAATTGAAATTATTTATTCAAAGGTTTATCGATTCCGTTCTATCGAATCCGGTAGGTTTTCTGTTTTTACGCGACCCGGCAGCGGCGTAAGTAAGTTAAAAGCGCCGGACGCAATACAAACGTACATTTTTAATTTAACATATCAAAGCGATAAAAAACAAAATAAAAACGTTTATATTATTGAATAAAGTATGATATGTTATTATTATTATTTTTTTTTTAACCGTTGAAAAATGCCATACGTTAATTGCTCATCGAATTTTCTACGCTTTTTTTTTTTTGTATATGTCAAAAACAAAATTAAAAAATTAAAAAATACCGATATGCCAAGGTACATAGTTTTATTAAACAATATAATACCGCGTATTCTTTTAATAATCGCCACATTAAAACCGTTCCGATATGTTTTCCTAAATCATGTAACGTATAACCCGTTCATATTATAATAAAGCAAATTTAAAAGTACAACTGTTTTAAATTCATAAAAAAAAAAAAAAAACTTTCCACAAAAGCGAAACAATAACGACGTGTTTTGATGTAGGTATACGTATTTGTTAAAAAAACGTATTTATCGATGTACACGGCGTATTAAAATTATTGTTTTACACCGTAAAATGTTTTTATTCGCGTATCGAAATGGACCGGAGATTTTGTTTGGTTTTTTTTTTTTTCTAATAATCACCGAAATAACGAATTGTCACAATATTGTAAAAATCCAATCGAGAATTTCGCTATTACGCTGTTTTTTGCAACTGCGGGAAAATAGAAAGCGCGGGCAAGTATAGGCGTAATTTTGTTTCTTTTTAATATCCGCGAAGCACAATTGTAGAAATCGAATATGATATACGAGGGGATCAGGTCATCGTACGTTATCAACGATACCCACTAGCAATAAACGGTCATGGAGTAAAATGCAACATTACGATATCATGGAATAGGCAAGACAGGTTAACTATGTCGTTTGTATAGGTTGTGAAACAAGAATCACCAAAATATCCGAGCGGGTTTTGTTCAAAATAGACGCGCTGTTGTAATTTTAACAGTTTATTTTCATAGTTTGTTTTTGCGTTTTTCGAGCCGAACGAATAAAAAAAAAAAAATAAAATAAAAAACCGCTATAAAAGTATCTCATCCGTGTTAAATTGCCTACATCTATGAAGTTACTTTTCGAATATTTGTGTACCGTCTCGAAAAATATTGTTCGTGGAAAACAAAAACCGCATACCCTTTTGAAAACATAACGTAATGTAGTTTACCATTATATTCCCAAACCGAAATAATCGATTTTTCTCGAATTCAAATGTTTCGCCAATGCTAAATTATTCTCCAACGTATCTTTCTTTATTTTTTCTAACCAAATCAAAATCGCAGTTTTCAAATCCAGTCTCGTAAAGTTGTCGTATACGTATATCCACGATAGGTTTTAACTGCAATACAACAAACGTATTTTTGTAATCGAAAACGACAACAAATCGTTAAATCGTTTTTTCGTAAATTGTCGCGTTTTCAACCTAACCTAACCTAACCTAACCGGGGTTTTTTTCGGTCAATTATTCGGAAAATTTTACAAAGAAAATTGAAAAAATAAACATCTCGTCGCTCCGACTGGACAAAATTTGCTTGGAATAAAAACGACAATCGGTGCAAGTTTTTTTGTAGAATATTTGATCGCGGGCAGAGAAAAAAACTACAAGCACCATCATGTGGTATTAAAAAACAATACCCGGATAATTTCTCGGTGCGCTCAGAATCCAAAATACCGCAAAATTACATATTATGGTGTTAAAATTATTTTCGATAAAACGACGTTATATTTAATCGTTATGAAGTTCGAAAAAGTTCATATGTTTTTACTCCGATTGAAAACGTATCATCCGGTTATAATCTGAATACTTAATGGTCTATAAGACGAAATAAAATAACTGAAAATCGATTTTGTTAAAAAAAAATAATAACGATAATAATAAAAAGAGAGAAAGAAAAAAAAAGCTGTTCATATAGAAAACCAATTTTATTTTTGCATAATTTCGATAGTTCGTTGTATTTTTCGACGAGAACTTCTGGATAAGTCCAAAAATAATCTTAATGAAAAGAAAAAAAAAATACCACTTTTGTTCATGGAAGTAGTCGTTAACTTTTAATTAGAATCTCGAAACTCGTTGTACTTATTGAACTTTATTTTTACTTTTTTTTTTATTTTCTTATAAAATGTTTCAAACTAAAATGTACCCGAATATTGGAAAAAAAAAAAAAAAAAAAAACATTATTAATTCATACGGCTGTACGCCACGAGTATATATTATTTACATGTCTAGTGAGTTGGTAACGTAGGAAAGTTATCGGTCTTGCCGCTATCGTAAAAATAATGAATATGTTTCCACATATTGTATATAGAGCGCGTATAAAGTTGTGAAATCGATCGGAATGGTCTCGTTATTATCGCGCGTTTCGCAATAATAGTATTTATTTTTTCGGGGGGCCTTTGGAAAATCTGATGGAAACAACGCCGCTCCGGATAAAACCCTCCTGGTATCTCCGTCCGTAATGATCGAGAAAATCGAAAAAGAAAATAACACGGCGAGATTCCGGTATAATAATAACGTACGATCCGAACGAATACCGGCGCACGTTTCGATTTAAAATCCCGCGCAGTTACTTTTCGGTTAAACCGTTCGTGTAATACAATCCGCGGGCCGTATTGCGTGCGACGGGTTTCGTTTTGTTCCGAACAACAACAATGTATTGCCGTATTGCGAAAAAAGAAAATATATAATGATAAAAAATATCGCCGAGTCCGCGAAACAATTGTAATTGACGATCGTCGGGCTAACGTGTTTTTGTTTTTTTTTTTTTTACGTACGTAACAACGCGGGCCGCGTGGAAAACCGGTCTTTTCGCGACGAGACCGGCGGGCTCTTCGCGACGGCCGGCCGTTTTTCGGGCTCGTCGCGGACGCACTGTAACGGCAGTCGGGCCTTTTAAGAACCGCGATTATATGTATCGCACGGTCTTTTTCATCGCGACGTATTGCGTGTACGGAAAAAAAAAAAACCAAAAGGACGCGCATATTAAATTGATTTGCCCGCGCGTTACGACCGGGCCATCTAAACGATTTATATGCCGCGGATTGACTGACGACGCGAAGCCCGTGACTTTTCGGCCAAGTGGCGGGCAGCGGTTTGGCGGCTTCGGCGATACGAATTCCGAATTAAACGGATACCGCGGTTAGTAACGCGACGGTCGACAGCCGCACGGTCAGCGTACGACTTCGCCGAACACGCGCAGTACGTGTCCGACGCGGTTTAGTACGTGTGAAAATGTACGGCGAGCGTGCAGTTCGCGCGTTATGGTTTTACCGTTCGGGCGAGAAATCGCAATGAGACTAGCGTGCCCGAATTTCACGACACGCGCATTGCGTACGGATAAAACGAACGGTCCGTCTGCTATTATTACCGTACCGTCTGCGGCGCGAAACGCGGACTTCACGCGGTACGGACTACGGCGCGACCGCCGCGTGTACGTAGCGAAACCGTAAAACGCGCGCGTAGGAAATATTCGTAAAAACGAAATCCGCAACGTTTTTCGCCGTGCCGAGACCCCGTTCGGGCCACACCGAAATTTCTCCGCGGCAACCGCTCTGCGGGTTCGCGGTGAAACGGCGCGCGCCGCGCCGAACGCTCGTCGGCGGTTCTTTTGAACGTACCCGAAATACGCGGTTTTTTTTTTTTTCCTTTTTTATCTCCCCCCGCGTATCGCGAATTATTTCGCGCGTTCACCGGCGACACGGCGACGAGCAACTCGTCCGGGCGGCACGGGACATCGCGACTCGCGGTCAATCGCGTGCGGCACACGCGCCGGCGAACTAGCCGACCGACAGTCAACGGTTTCGGCTCGCGAAACGCGGAACACCCGGATCCGGCGTAAACGGCGCGCGTGCCCGTCGCGGTCGCGCTACGAGAACCGCGGACACGACCGTTTCGACGTTGTTCTCGTTAAGGTTTTCGGTTCCGGTTTCGGAAAAAAAAAAAAAAACCGATCGACGCGCCGTAATCCGTCTCGAAAATTTATGTTCTGGTCTCGCGGTCCGCGTCCGTTTCACGCCGCGTCGACGGTCGCGTCTCCGTTTCGGAGTCGCGCACGTTCATGTACCGAGTACGTTTACCGCGCCCGGTGCGTCGGAACTACGGTCGAAATTCGTTTATATGAATTTAGTTTAACGCAATCGAATTCTTTTCTTTTTTTTTTTTTTTTTGTTCGTTTTTTAGGAAACAACACAAAGAACCAACCGTACCAGTGTCAGTAATAAAGAATACGACGTTGACATTCTTACAAAACCGTTAAAATATAACAAAAACAAACATCCGCACATAAAAAAGCTTCGAATTAATATTCTTTGAAACTAATCAAATTTAACACTAGACCGTTTTTTTTCCCATTTAAACTTTGTTAAGTTTTTCTCCGTTTTAATACGTGGTGGGCGTCAAAAATGTTAATACGCCAAAATCCAAAAGTCCGGAACAGCAGTGGGTCGCTAAAGTTTTTCCCGATAACTTAATACAGGCGCCTGCTTTTCATTAATTTATAGAACCATCAACATTTCAACTTAACGGTTTAGACATTAAAAATAAACGCGAATCCGTTCTCTTATGTTTGTTTGTACATCAGTATTTCGTATGTAAATTTCACAAGTTTACGTACAATTCAAATACGTTTTTTGTATCCGATAATACGCGTCGTCTCTAAACCAAACATATTTACAATCACACGTACGTCCGTATCGAACGAAACGCCTATTATACGACAACAGCATTAAATTACGATCGTTTTTTTTTTTCTTATTTTTTACCCCGATAAGCACAAAGTTAATACAACCGTCGATTAAATTAATATCGCTCGGTTTGACGGGCGCTTTCGAGATTATTGCGATTGATTATTAACGTACGGATACCGTTTTCAAAGGGACCAAACGATTTAATTATCGCTTTATATTTACCGATTTCTCGTGTAATGAATTTCGTATGTCCTGAAATAACGTTGTACGAGTAAACGATTATGGAGTGTGGGGTTAGTGCGGTTAATCTTCGGTTAGTTCGTTAGTATTCGAGGCGGGTTCGTTCAATTCGAAATGTATTTCTACGTATTTATGTAAATGTATTTATTTTATCATACCGCGAGAACAGAGAGAGGAAATAACAGACGATATTGCCGACGGGTGTGCCACTGCAGTTGACGGAAAGTCGAGGAGATACTAATGTAAATAATGATATTTAGCATACGTCTTCACGCAACGGCGAATCAATGTTAACGGAACACGATTCTGAGCGGGTTTATAAGAGGTTTTCGTCCGTTTTCATCATGTTCGCGTGTTTCGAGAGATTGTGACATTTACGATTTGAAAAATAATACATTCCGTACATTAACAAACGGGAAACGGAAACAGACAACATATACAAATCTATAGAACCCTCGCAACGCTCTGAATCTAAATTATTGAAATTGGCTCGTGCGATTTTATACATTTTGATATTCGTACAATTTTAATGGAATTATTTGACGACGATGTTAATTAATATAGGTAATTGCATTTTATTGTCATCGAGTATTGAGTGTTGAGTGAAATACGAGTATCAGACATTTAACTTGGACATTTTATGTTGGAAGGTAAATTAATCAACACCATGATGTAAATGCCATATTTTCGCCTTTCCTTTCTCGTTGTTATCGTTCACATTTCCTTTTCCATCGTCAAATGTTCATTGTAATAAATTCAATCCAAATCGTCTTTGTTCTATCCTCCCGGCTTCCATCTATACTTGATTCGTCTGTCTTTTTGATTATCTCGTTTCGTTTCCTCTTCTCTCTACACACCCATTCTATCTAAATATAATATACTTTTTTGTTTTTTTTTTTAAACATATTTGTTCATCGTTAATGATCTATTTAACCTGGTTACGCGGACGGTCGACGTGTACGCCATGCTGCGACGAGACCGACAAAACCGGACGGGAACGGCAAAACGCATTATTTCGTATAACGCTCGCCATACTACGACCGTTAAGCTTCGTACTTGTTCGGTTTTTTAATGGTTTTCGCGTAATAATTATTATAACGTTGTATTGATAAATAGCGCCGGATACCGGATAAAAGGTATTCCATACGTGTCCGAAATAATAATTCAATTCGGGAGACGGTCGGGACCCACGACGGAATGCACGGTCGTCAGTAGCGAATGGTCGTGGTCGTTCGCGTCATTGCGTTATTGAAACCGACAAACCGGCAAACGGCTTCTAAAAAGGCTAGACGATTTTCGTCCGCGGATAGCGCACCGAACCGACACCGG